GGAATAGGAATCTAAGGATAGCCTATCTTATTTTCTCTAATAAAACATATACTTTATCTATAAACTATTATCTGCCTGAACTGTCACAGACAGAAGGGTATAGTTTCTAGTTGTAGTAGAAATTATACTTACCTGTTAGACACCGCTATAAAACTGTAAAGGATCCCTGTAGCCGTATCATTGTTATAGTACTGCTGTTAAGAAGGCCACGGTACTGTAACAATGCCTAAACTTTTAGCTTTTTCTATAAAGAAAGGCCAGTTATACTGCAAATCATTAAACCTGATTTGTATATCTGGCATGATTGCTTTCCAACAAAGAGCAAATGCTTTTAATAAGTTTGTTTGATTTCCACACATGACTGTAACACAATCTGGATCAGGTGCCATTTCAACATCGACAAAACAAATCTGTTTTAATGGCTTTGGATCATCCCTCCAATGTATGGTTATACAAATTATAAAAACTCGATCCTCTTCATATTTCGCCATAGGTACGTTACCCATCTTACGACTACTATATATTTCTATATCTCAGGTAAGCACAAGAGTTCGATCATGTATGAGAGCTGAAGATACTATTTCTTCATCTGGCTTATTATCCCCTAAAGGCTGAAAATTATTTACAGATACATGGAAATAATAATGTGGTAAATTTGTATTTGATATGTAATTATAATTGCTTAATACGGCCTACTTAGAGAGGGTAGTCTTTCTTCACGGGCTATCTTTCAATAATAATAAACATTAGTGATATCATCTGATGCTATTTCAATGTTGTGCTTATGAACCTCTTTTAAAATTCGTGTTCTATCATAATGATTCCATGTAATAATACGAATGTATGCCTTTTTCTCGGTATAGTAACCACAAATTGGATATGCGTGAGTGACTTTCATTCCAAACTTTGATTTATTAATCTTTTTCGGCCCTGATATAATTTTTACTAATCTTAGTTTGAATATAGATAAAAGTTCATTATCAGTCATGACGATATCGAAGAAGGGTTTAATACCTTTAATGTCTACCTAGCCTTTTGCTTATTAATCAAAGTGCTGTGAATACGTAGAATATATATCGATATATTTTTTATATACTCAGTAGCATCACTCACATCATTAGGATGAAATATATAAGCTGTTTATCAGATAAACTTTGTTGAAGTATAGCTGTTAACCCATTATCACATTCTGAAATAATATCACAGCAAGATGGAATTCCTGCTATGGTTTCTCTGCCCCTGTACTGCTTGAGTTGTGTGCTTTGTGTGCTCATTTTTTGTATTGATATTTTCTTTAGCTATAATAGTATTGGTGGTATATTATTCGCAAGGAAAAAGTTTAAAATGAAAATTAATTCTAGAGTATAATTACTAATATTTTTATCGACTAGTATATAGCTATGGTATTTTATCATTGTCCCTATATTCTTAGGACTGGAGAAGTTTGCAATCAAGGTTGCTATCAGCCTGAAGGGTATAAAGTTCATTAGGATTCCTTGCGCGTGTACTCTGTAAAGAGTGTGGTAAATTGACATTATCTACTTATGACTTTTGTGATATACATACTAAAAAATATCATGCAAGGTCAGGGGATCATAGGAAAAAGTTTGAGAAACTAGGCCAGATACAGATGTAGGTTCAAAGAATCATGATTTGGAGAATCGTCTATAGCCTGCTCTGCAATAGTAAGTGATAGCAAAAAATATGTGATTAGGTATTTAACTTCAGAAATATATTATATAAATTATGGAAGAAGAATACCCATTTCATGGTATGTTTCTGAGTATATTTTTAGATATGTAGTCAGGGTATTTAACTTCAGATATATTATATATATAAAATGGAAGAAGAATACCCTTTTAATAATATGGTTTTGGGTATATTTTTGGTATGTGTTCGAATAGTCTAATCTGCGGATTTATTATGCAAAGCATGGGCAAGGCCTTATATATAAAAAGTGGAAGAACACACCACCTTAGCGTATATATATATTGGGTATATTTTTGGTATATCGTTAGGGGTATTTAACTTCAGAAATATTATATAATAATTATGGAAGAAGAATACCCTTCTAATAATATGTTTTCGGTATATGTTGATAGTAGTTAACAGGTGTAGTCTTTTACAGAAATATATATAATAATTATGGCAGAAGACTATAGTAAAAACACATATGCTGAGAGATGAGTAACATCAGATTTATTCATAGTAAAAAATGATGTTATATATCCGCTTTCTTATATATACTTACTTTTTTCATCACTTGTTTCATATCAGGCTCTTGAATATATATCTAACTGATAGCATATATATGATAGCATTATCGATAGCATAACCAGATATCATGTATATAGTATGGCCAGATAGCATGTATATAGCGTACCCGATAGTATATACATGATAGCATTATTGATAGCATTTTTTTGTGATATACTCTATTGCTTTACAAGCCATATTGTGAAACAATAGCACTTGCGTGCCTAGGCAATTCTCCGAATCATAACTCTTCAAGTTTAGACACTGATGACGGTATTGCATTTCTGTTGTCAAAAATATGTCATAAAATATATATATCACGATACTGACGATGCAAGCGCGAATTGTTCGTCACTCGAATGATGACGCAAGCGTGAATCATTCGTCACTCAAATGATGAAGTGAATACTAATATATCTCTGATGACATAAGCACGAATTATTCCTCACTCGAATAATGACGCAAGCTTAATAGAGGTCAAAATAAGTAGCTATAAAACAAGTAAGTATTAATATATCTATAAGTAGGTAACAATTTATTCTCATAAGTAGGTAACATCCTAATGTAAGTAGGTAATAATATATATATATTATTATCTACTTAATTAATCATATTTTTTCAGTATGGCATGATCATCTGTAGGTATATGTAAATAATTAGTTAGATTACATATTATAACTGCAGAGTATCAAACCTAGAGTTTTAATGTTTGACTTCCTTTATGGGGATACAATTTGATTAAATAAAAGTACTGGCACAATCTGTCTAAGTAAAGCAAAAAAAAAAAGATTAAAAACAATTTATCTTTAAATTTTAATTTCAGATTTTAAATCTTAAAATAATTTTATCAACATGTATAATTGTAATACAATATGTAAAAATATTTAAAAAACAAAAAACAGATTGTTAATAAAAGTTAAGATATAACTTTATCCAAATAATTTTAATAATTCAAATAATCTAATTATTATTATCATTTATTATTTTTGATTAAAATACTAAACAAAAATTTTTTTTTTAATCTTCAAAGGTAAAGTCATGTTTTTATCTTTATTGAAATTTATTTAAACTTCTTTACAGCTAAGCAAAAATGTTTAAAACTTCCAAAAACCTAACTCAAATTAAAATTTAAACCTTTATATCTAATATTTATATCTAACCTCTATCTTATTTTAAAACTGTATTCTAACTTTAAAATTTTAGTACTTTTCTTTTTGTGATTATCAAACTCTTGATTTTTTTACTTGATATAGTCAAATATTAATATAACCAGATTGAAAAACAAAAGTTTTGATTACTGTATAAAAAAAAATTGTAATTATATGATGATTGATTATAAACTGTATATTAAAGTTGTATAATAAAAATTTTAAAATACATAGCTACTAGTTTTAAATATTGTATATAAATTTTTTAGTCTAAATTAACAATTTAAATAAAGTTTTACCTAGAATGCTTTTCTGACACATAAGTGTTTCACCAACTTTTCATGAAAGCGATTTTTTATTTTATAAAAAATTCACGTGAGCAATTTAACGACTAAATTGAAATACTATTTGTTAAAAGTATCGGCCAATCAGAACCTTCGCCGAAAATAAATTTCTATCATCTACAGATTTGCAGAAAATTAGGTTTATACTCCCAAACACTTCGAGCGGTAAGTGTGTTTTCTATTGCAATAATTAAAATTCTTCTTATCAATTACCGTATATTACCGAATAAAAGCGACCCCCGAATAAAAGCTACCTCACGACTTTAGACTCAAGAATTTGAAAAAGGTTATTATGTTTTAATAGTAAAATTAGACCCGAATAGAAGCTACTCCTCACTTTAGCCCGAAAAAAATCTCTTTTTTTTCAACATTTTGGTAGCTTTTATTCGGTAATATACGGTACTATTTAAACTTTAACACGAAGTACCGTCTTTTCTGCCACAAAACTAAAATCACCTCAATAGATAATGGGAGAAGGCGGCGCTCATCCTTGGTGGGGCAACCTTGGTGGTCCCGTTCAGAGACATATCGTAACATATTCTATTTCTCCATACAAACAACGTGCTTTCGCGGGCGCTTTATCACGCGGTGTTTTCAATACTTACCGGCGCATAGCTTCTCAAGCTTTTTATATGGGCGTTCCTGCATTTATTGGTTTATTAATTTATCACCAGGGCAAAAAAAGACATGAATATTTGAATTCGAAAGCGGGCCATGAGGAACTGCTCAGAATAACTAAATAAGGCTATTCAAACTTAATAAATCGGTTCTCATAACACAAAATTTTTGAAAGTGACCCGGCAACCCGGCTTTTAATTTTATTTTCAAAAAATTTTATATATA